AATGAGACAGACATCAAATTCATTAGGAGCTGCGGTTTCTGTTAGCTCTTACTAGCGGTGATCACCCCACACTCCCATATAAAGGAACACATTTTACTGTCAAAGTACAGAAGCTGCAAGACTCTACATTTTGCAAGGACACACAATAAAAGGCTGATCGTGCACAAGGTAAAAACCCAAAGTCAAATTGATGTTTCAGTTGAGTGTTGCAGGAACCTAGATCTGTTTTATCACTCCTCCACCTGACATCTTCCTCCCCCATTCCTTCCCTACTATAATACGTAGGTTTTCTATTCTGTAGTCATGATTTCTTTTTAACATACATCTTTGCTTGTGCGTGGCTTTTCCACATGGCTTCCCCCCCCCCCCCCATTAGTTCTGGCCCCATACTGCTTCAGTTTATCCCCAGATTTCCACACGCATTTTGATGCTTTGAGTTTTCCCTTTGTTTTTTCCAGGTCTTTTGGGACTACTTTTACCTTGATCATTTTCTGGAAGCCAATTTTGAGTCTCCTTTTTCCTAGTATGTAATCCTTCTGTCGGTTTTCTTTGTCCCACCCACTCCACCCATCTCCAGCCCACTTTTCACTTACTGGACTCTAATCGTTGTCCAACCACTTCCTCCCCTCCCCCTGAAGACAATGAAAACAAGTGGTTTTGATTTTCAATTTTAAAAATTCAATAATTATGTCGATATAACCATGCCCAAAAAATTAGGCTTAGCAGATTCCAAGTTGCTTGCTTCCGAGTTGCCAAGATATGCCTTTTTCCTTATACCTCCACAAGGGAAAGAACTAGAGACATTTTCAAAAATGAAAGCTGGGAATTCAGACAGCCTGTTCAGCCTATTGTTACTATGGCAAACCAATATATTTTAGTGCTGATTTTTTTTAAAAAAATGCAAAAGCCAGAGGGGAGGGAGACTTCCAGCACTAGAAAAAAAGAGGTAGTTTGAAATGGACAGCACTTCAAATATGATTCACAAACAGATGGGTGGCAGCGTTGCTCCCCTTTTAGACTTCCCTGTGTAAAGGCCGGCCGGCAGGACTTGTATGACATTCCCCCATTGCAGGAATGATACCTTCCCTCAGCCTCCCCTGTGTGTCCATGGAGTCCCCTGTTCTTTGCCTTCATCCCTAAGTGCATGTTCCTTTTAAAGATTTTTTAAAAATGCAACCATGATATCAATATAAACACACACAAGTACTAAAACAGGTGGTCTGACACTATCCCCCCTTGAAAATCCTGATTGGCACGAGCAGAAGAAAATAAACTGACTCCACAGCTGTGAAAATGCAGAGAAGAAAGATATGCTGAAGAACTGTGCCCCCAAACCGATTCCAATGCTTGTGGATCACTGGACACACACAAAAAATCACATCGAGAATGCAGGAAAGCCCCATGACTTTACTGGAAAATCATTTGTTTTCAAATACAATGTAGAGAAGTCACATTGTCCCTGCGCACAGCTGGGTGCATTTTGTGTCTGACTGACCTGGATAGCTGAGGCAAGGCCAGTCTCATCAGACCTCAGAAGCTAAGCAGGGTTCACTCTGGTTAGTACTTGGATGGGAGACCACCAAGAAAGTCCAGGGTTGCTATTTAGAGGTGAGCAATGGGAAACCACCTCTGAATGCCTCTTGCCTTGAAAACCCTGTGGGGGTCCACCATAAGTCAGCACAAGGGAGGGAAAGTATAGATTCTCACCACTACCTACACCAAGACTATCATAGGAAGAGCAATTCAATTTTAAAATTTCGGTTTTAAATATTTGGTTTTGAACACACTGTGTTCACCCCTTCCGTAAAGTTTTTAGTCATTACAACAAAGATTAGTTTTGAAGGATGTGGGAAGGGGTCTTCAGTGAGACTGCAGTGGTCTCAGAGCCATAGAATCACAGAGTTGGAAGGGGCCACACAGGCCATCTAGTCCAACCTCCTGCTCAATGCAGGATCAGCCTAGGCCCTAGAGCATCCCTGACAAGTGTTTGTCCAGCCGCTGCTTAAAGACTGCCAGGGAGGGGGAGCTCACCACCTCCCTAGGCAGCTGATTCCACTGTTGCCCAACTCTTACTGTAAAAAAGTTTTTTCCTAAGATCCAGCCGGTACCTTCCCACCCTTAATTTAAACCCATGATTGTGAGTCCTCTCCTCCGCTGCCAACAGGAACAGCTCCCTGCCCTCCTCTAAGGGACAGCCCTTCAAATCCTTAGAGAGTGATCATGTCTCCCCTCAGCCTCTTCTCCAGTCCTGCACAGCCTATTGCCTTCTGCCCATGAGTAGCAGAAATTAGCTTACAAAGTTTGCAAATGTGTACAGGCTACAGAATTCAGCTTTTACAGACACAGAATTTCAAGAGCGGATGCAGACAGGTGGAGAGAATGAATCCTGGAAAAGGCCTAATAACCATTGTTAATCAGTACCACAAGCTTCCTTTATGCTGCCGTCCTTTACAAGCAGGATTAACACACAAAATCAATGCTATATGACATACTTCAGTTCAGGACTATGAAGAGGAAAAATGATCAAACATTTTGACAGCTTTGGATTTGTAACAGATCCATCTTTACAAAACGTCACCTCCTCCCCCATTTTGTGGGGATGGAGCCTTCAAATGCAACATATCGGATGCTGCGGTAACTCTACTCAGGTACAGGTTCGCAACAGACCCAGTCTCGGCCTGCCTGAGAAAAACTGCAGCAGGGATTAAAACTGGTCAGACCTTTCAGAACACTACAGCAAGGGCATGGCCTTACGTTCACCTACAGCATTTTTAAAGCAGAGCCAGATCTGGAAGTTTCTTATGCGTAAGTGGGGGCACAACTTCAGATTTAACACCGTATCCCTGAACAGCCAACACGCTAACTGAACACTGTCAAACAGGAGTCTCGAACCAGATTACCTATATTCAAAGCTCCATTCCACTAGGACTTAGCCATTCTTCACATCACAAAGTTTGGTGCTTAGTAGGGATGACACCAGGACTTTGTATCAGACACAAAATGGGAGTTTCATGCCTCTCAGATGCATGCTAGCTGTTTTCTGCTCGCAACCACAGCATGCACTTAGAAGTGGCTTCATCCTCTCTCCATTTGTTGTTTTTATGTCCTCAAATTGCACCAGTGTGAAAAATCGCATGCAGCCATGTGATAGCTGCAACAGAGGCAATAGGGGTTCCATGGGACAGTTTGATGTGAAAAGAATGCACAGGAGGAGCTGCAGCTCCCCATCTGCTGTCAAAAGCAAAAAAAAAAAAAGGGCTCGCATGTCTGAGATAAGACTCCCATCATACGTCTGACACAATGCCCTCACGCCATCTTCTACAAACACAAAAACATTTATGATGTGAAGATGGGCCCTAAGTTACCTAGGGCCCACCTATCTCCAATGGATCATTATAAGAACAAGCATAAGGACTGGCTTTTGTAGGCTATACGGACCCTGTAAACATTTCAATGCAAACAAGAGTGTTTTTGCCCCTCTCCCCCAGTTAAACTCTTAGGAGTGTTTCAAAAAGAGCAGTTCAGATGTTTAACAAATCAGATGCCAAACAGCTGCATTTTAAATTAGCATATATTTTACTGTCTCAATCACAGCAACTTCATACAGTAAGATACACATAAAAATATATAGCATGGTATTACTTGCAATTTAACACTGTTCTGTACTACAGGAATTCCATGACAGATATGTACATAGGACTGCTTCCTTTTTTTAAAAGTAATATAATTAGTCCCTGCTATGTTCACCGTATAAATTACGTGGCATCACAGTTTTTGTTCATTTAGTGTTGTGTGGATAGCAATGTGGAACTGGAACGAGAGAGCTACAAGCTACACAGTATAGCAGCCAAAGAAAGACAGGCCATGGTGCTTGAGGTTGAAACAGAAACAAAAATACATCAAAAGGAACTCTACAACCTGTTTTAGAAACAGTAGAATTATTTTGAATTTGGCAATATATACATCTGGTATCTACAAGTATACTAATATATTTATTTTAAAAATCCTTCTAAGCTTTTAAAGACCTTAATTATTCACTTGTGCAGCCATTTCCCTTAGTCTTCCTCATCAGCAAGGTAATACTTGCCTGTAAAGGAAAAAAAATACTCAGTGCTCCATAGCAGCCATCTCATTTATACTATTCCTGGTCATATGAATCTTCTTGGTATTAGTTTGCTGTTGGCAGCATTCCATAAAACTCATTTTTGAAACTGTACATTTGATCCTCATCCATATCCACATTTCAGCAAATTTACGTTCATGTTCCTAACCCTTCCTGTGTGAGGCTCCTCCCCTCCCTCGCCCCAGAAAAACACACTTTAAAAAAAACAAAACCATTTAAGTGTTTGCCACATGAAGGGTGAAAGGACAACAATTCTTAGCCCTACAGTCTACAACCATGCTCATTACACATACAGTTTTTGGGTCAAAAGTGTTAACTTGGTACAGAGTTCAGAATTGAATGAAATGGCATAACTATCCTACTTAAGGAATGAATTGTAAAGACAACACTGATAGCCTTTGGGGCATAAGCCCAAATTCAGTATGCAGATTCAGCTCTAAGGCTGAAAAATTTTACTAGACCGGGAATGACACAAGCTCTCTTTTTAAAATCTAAGTTACCACAAAACAATGCTACAGATTTGCCACAGAGGGAATGTACGTATGTTACACAAAGTCCTCCCAGCAAGGACGAATGAGAGTTGGTATGTGTGTATGGCCAACTCTTCTATTCCTTGCTGAGGCACAATTCAGTACTTGTGTATGTGCATGGAAGGGCTGGGATGACTGCTTATAACCAGGAACAGAATTTCAAACCAACTGAAAGAAGCACAAGAGAGACAAATGGATTTCAAGGGACATCAGTCTACAACGGTAGTCTTTAAAAGCTGTAGGGGATATACTGTGGGGGAATAATGTTACCTGAAGAAATAACCCAGAGACTTTTAAGTTACAGGACTTCAGCATTTTTCTTTTAGAAAAACACAACTTTCTGTATATTTATTAAAATATAAACTGCTTCCAAATAGTCTATTTACAGTAGAAAGAATGGGATTTGATACATGTGTAACAGAAGGTAAAATTCAGTCAGGATTCATTGGGAAAGGCACCACTCCGGGCATAACACAACATACACAGATTCACTTATTAAAAAACAGTAGAGACAAGAAGGATGTATTGGCAACACTTAAATACTAGGTTTCCATTGTGATGTTACATGGTATCCAGGAAAATGGGATGGGGGAAGACGAGATGGGACTCCCATGGCAATTTGCCTCGCGAAGATCAGGAAATGCATCTAAACCTCTTCCAAAACAGACACACACACCACAACCTTTTTTGGCAATCCCTACCATCCACCAAGTTGATGAACATTTTGTGCAAACTGCCCAAACAGACAATTTCACAATTCACTGAAAACGCTGTTCTTAGTTTCCTGGCTATCCTCTTTGTTACTGCTCTGATGCTGGGTTGTGTAGGTGAAGCGGTAACAGCAATGCAACACAGAAGCGCAATGTCTCTTCAGGGAAACAAAAACTGGAGTGCAAGGCCTGCCTATTCCTGAAAAGGGGGGGGAGGGAAGAACCCCAGTGCTCCTCTCCCCCCGTCTACATGGGAACAGAGCAGTGTTCAGTTGAGAGTTACCTAAAAGAGTAGCAGCAGAAACTATTGTTTAGACAACATGTTGTGAAGCCACATCAAGAACTGGTACCTACATTGAGATGTGTTTGTCTAATACTAGGGCATGTCCTACTTTTGCCTTGCCTCCTAACAAGAGGTCAGTAGGATGATATTTCTTACCAGCAACATCAGCATGTATGTATTTTTAGCCCTTTTGTCCCAAAATATGTATAGTTTCAGGGGGAGGAGAAATTATCTATAAACCAGGTGTGACAGCTGGTTGGATTTATAGTTTAACTGATTGTTTGGCAAGAACCGGTGGAGCTCACTCTTTCGACAGCAGGGATCGTAGTAGTAAGCGTTGAGGCAAGTATCGCAGGAGACCTTTGAACAGAAAGTGCATGTGTTTGTGGCTCCTGACCGGTTGCAAAAGCCACAGCGGGAAGAGCCTGAAGGCTTGGATTTGGAAGTGAACGGAGGGGCTCGCTCTTGAGTCTGTAACATGTACTGAGGCTTTTCCCGGGCTGTGGACCCAGAGGACATGCCTTCGCCAGAAAGAGTTTTGAGGGAATAGCTGCTCTGCTTCATCACTGGATACTCCTGCCTACAAATGAGCAAACTGTCACACTTTTGGCAAACAGAGGTGCCACAAGATAATCCACAGTTTTGGCACTTAAGGGGAGGAGTCTCTTTGGTTAGATGTGTACGTTTATGATAGTTAGGGTTGGCATCATTTCTCAGCAGCCATACGTCATGTTTAGCAGACTCCTGTCTCTTGAAGTTCAACATACTTCGAGAATCGGGGTCAGTATATAAATCTAAATCGTCTTGAGGGGAATAATAGGTACTGTATGGGACACCCGTTCTTAATATGCCATTGGCATGGGATGAGACTGGCAAATATTCCTCAGAACACCCATGTGGAGAACTTGACATGGCAAGGAGAGAGGGAGACGGGCGAATTATTTCATCTTTGATATCGTCTTCAGTATCGACCAAAATGGGTTCTTTTCTGAGACTTAAGGAAGTCATCAAAGGAGGCTTTTTATTTTCCAGGTAACTGTCATAGGCATCCACTGATTTCGAGGGTTTGGTAACTTTGGGTTTGAAGTAATCTTTAGCGCCTCTCTCACTGGCAGATTTCTGAAGTACCATCCGTGACATGGAAGTGTTCAGGTTCTCTTTGCATTCTGCACGGCGCTTCAAAGCATCTGAGCAGCCTCGGACATCATCACTGCTACTTTTTCTCTCATTTATAATGTCGAGCTCTGAATATCCTTTATCCTTCACTTGCAAATGAATTTCAATCAACTGTTCACACTCTATTTTGGCCAAGTACAGTTCAAATGATACCCGCTTCACCTGCAGAGTATCTACTAGGTCTTTGAGCTTATACACCATTCCAAGTTCCTGGACATAGCCCATTGAGTTCAGGATCTGCCTTATATCCTCATCAAGTATCGTAGACTTCACATAATAAACAAAAGGCCCTGTGTAGGTCTGAAGACAGGAGAGAAAGAGAAAGATTACCAACTCAGCTCCCAACTAAATGACATTCTGCAGTACTCACTGAATCAATCATTGCTGTGACTTAAAGCTTGCTTTAAAAGATGAAGAGCAAGCCCAGAATGCTGTTTTTGTTCTTTATGGAACAAATATCATTTTCCAGGGCCATACAATGCACCAAGGAAATATTTAAAAGTGCAACGGATTAATCTTCAAACTGAAACCCGCAGAGCACTCTTATTTCACATTACACGTGTTTCCAGTTTAACGTAACAAAGCATTTTCTTTTCATCTACAATAGATAATCGTATCACATGTATTTTAGAGAAGAATTAGCAGGTGGGTAGGGACAGCTGGAGATGCTGGCACCTGAAAAGCTGTGGGAGTATCAGGATGATGGGAAAAATACAAAAACATGCATGTTTTTGTTAAAAACATAGCCAGTGACATTTTAACTGTATTAAAGTTTTCGTGTCGATGCATTTGTTAGTTTGAGTCTCAGTGCCAGTATTTTATACTATCACGTGTCTTGGCGGTAGGAAACTGAGATTTAGAGAACAATTTTGCAGTGTTTAAACCCCAGTTTTAAGATTACAAAAAATAGTTTAGACATTAGCTTTGATATTTGGGAGGAGAATCAGGTTAGCCACTTTGGCTACCCATTGGGGAGAAAGGTGGGGGTATAAACAAAGCAGTATCTAGGCACCAACCTTCTCCAGGTCTGTGCAAAGTTTTCATGCCCTTGAGCATCAGCATTAAGTTGCACAGTGCCAAAACTGCAATCCTAAACAGAGCTGCATCTTGCCAAGCCCCTGACTTCAATAGACTTAGAAGGGTATTGCTTTGCTCAGGACTGTACTATAGGACTATTCCAGCACCCTAATGATCAGGCAATAATTGCGCTTCAGCTTTCCCCACCTTAGAGGGACAGGCCACTGATACTGCACACAAACAAGCTTTCAATATCAAGAATTCAGACAAGAGCACCACATTCAGCTACCTTACGTGCCATTTTGCTGGAAAACCCAAGTAGAAGTTTTCACAAACTTATCCGTTCCTCCCTCAATGCAACCAATTAAAATGCTAGATATCTTCCTCATTCCTAGCTTTTAGTGGTAGATATTTACAAACATGTGCTTTGAGGTATGACAGGTGCGACTGATGGGCATCTGTCTCTTCGTGTTTCCATGAACAACCCAATTCCACTTTTATTTCTATCATCTACTTGTAAGCGTTACCATGACAAGTGGGAACATGTCTGCAACTGCAAAGGAATCGCTCTATTTTAATAGCATTAAAATTATTTTGAGTGAACACAGAGTAGCAAATGGAAATTCAGAGTCTGTTCCCTGGGATGCAACGTGTGTGATGCCCCAGGATTCTGCTCTTTCCTCTATGTTTAACATACTTCTAGAATCAGGGTTAGTATATACATCTAAATTGTCTTGAGGGGAATATAGGAGTATGGAACACTCATTCTTAATATCTATGCACAACCATACCTATGGACTTGGGTATCAATGTGCAGGTGACATTCAACTGTTCCTGTATTTATGAAAGCTGCTGTCTCAGATTTTTAGGTGGTACCTCTGGATACCACAGCCAAGCATCTGTGGACAAAGCAGCAAAAGCTCAATTCAGATGGAGGCAATGCTGGCAAGGAAAGACAATATGCTTGAAGAGATTTTATTGCTGATTTTTGAAGGGGTACCTCTCGTGTTAGTGGAGACAGTGAAGAGCCTGGGAGTGCTCTGGAGGTAAGGCTATTGATGGAGATCAGTGCTGTGGCTAGGAGAGTTTTCTTCCAATTATATCTGGTTCAAAGACTCCACCCTTCTTTGATACAGCTGACCTGGCCGCACCAACCATGTTCCCTTGGGTCTAGATTATTGCAATATGCTTCACATGGGGTTGTCCTTGAAGACAGCACAAGTTATGATTGGTTCAAAATGCAGCAGCATATTTTCTTGACAGCTGTCAATAGGACTGATAAGATTACAGCAACTCTGGATTAACTGAAACGGTTTCCAATTTGTTTCCTGTTCATGGTACTACTTTTGACTTTTAAAGCCCTCTATGACCTGGAACCCACTTATTTGAAGGACAGACTGCCTCTCCCAATATGAGCCCTGGAGAACCCTACGGTCTTCTTGCCAGGCTGGTTGCCCTTTTACATGAGGCGAGAACAGCCTCGCCCTGAACTGGATAGGTCGGGCTAACCTGATCTCATCAGCTAACCTGGGTTGGCCCTGGCTAGTAAATAGATGGGAGACTTCCAAGGAATACCAGGGTCATGATGCAGAGGCAGGCAATGGCAAACCACCTCTGAACAGCTTGTGTTTTGAAAACCCTACAGGGTCGCCATAAGTCAGCTATGACTTGATGGCACTTGCTGCCGCCACCAGGACAGTCTCAGTGTGAGCAAGACTGTTTTTTGAAACTGAATGAGATTCCGAGGACTGTTCATTTGCTTCTGCAGAGCTTTGTTTGAAGACCCTTTCACAAAACTCTGGTTTTAAACTGGCTCTTAATATTAAATGGTGTTTTAATTATTGCATATAGAATTATTTATGCCTGAAAATCACTTCAAGAGTTCTTTGGGGGTTTTTAAAGCAGCATATAAATGTATTATATAAAAGTTCCCAGTTGCCCTGAGAGATATGGTATTCCAAGCAAACAGATGAATGAGTTTCCTTTTTCAAAATTCTCGCTCGCACCATTTTACAGTTGTGGGCTTTCAACGCATTCTTTACACTCCATGGTGGCTGGAAGGGGACAGAGCACAGAGCATGAGGAAGAACAACAGTGATTTTCATTTGGAAGAAGGAGGCAGTTGTTAAGCTGAAGCCGAGGGCAACGTGAAAGGATTAAACTTTAGGACAAATCCCAACTCAGCTGAGTCACACTCTCAGTCTAAACTATCACATGCTTTTGCAAGGATAAAATGCCACTGAGCTCCCCTACAGGAAGCAGGGATAAAATGTAATAAGAACTCATTTTTTAAAAGAAACTTTATGCCCCATATTATAACGATTAATCAGGGCTATGGAGTCTATACAGTCAAAATCCTGTCAAACTAGTATTCCCAGATACCAGTAGTAATTCAATGTCAATGGGCCCATTGGTCCTTTGTAAGTCAAGGTGTTCCCTAGATCAAGACGGGTAGCCGTGTTAGTCTGTTTGTAGCAGTAGAAAAGACTAAGAGTCCAGTAGCACCTTAAAGACGAACAAAATTTGTGGTAGGGTATGAGCTTTCATAAGTCACTGCTCACTTCTTCAGAAGTGCTCCCTAGTATGAGATTATTTTCAAGTATGCTTTTAAAATTAAATTCTCTTTCACTATTTATGTTGGTACAAAAGTATGAAAACTGCTGCCTTAGCTTTCAATGATTTCTTGATATTCTGGATCAGCCTTACCATTACAATCTTAAATCATCTTGATGACAAAAAATGAAGAATATGCTTAAGAGGCTTTTGTGCCCTCACCTTTATATTTTTGAATTCCTTCTTCCAAGGGTAAAGAAAAAGATTAACTCCAACGGATTCCAGCACACCAAAAGCATTCCGGAGTGAACGTAAACTTGAAGATTTCAAGGATCGAAGAGAATGTTCAGCTATCTCATAAAATTTGATCAACCGAAATCTATAAAAGGGATCAATCTTGGGAAGGCAAAGTAAGGCTGAAGCTGCCACTTGCAGGTACTCTTCACTAACTGGGCGCTGCTTCTTATCAGAGGTATCCAATTTGGATTCATGAAATTGTACATACTTCCTAAATACATCTTCTTTATATTTTGTATCCATCTGAAGTAGGATTTTAGCACGCTCGTGGGCGGCTACCTCATCTCTTCCATAGTTACGCCAAAGCAAGCTGATCAGTAGATATTATACAAAATCGCAATGTAGAGTCTCCTAGGTATGACAAAAAACACAAGTTACTGATTATTGCATTACTCAGATATGCCATGTAATATCCCCCTCCTCTCAAGGCACTACTAAAGAACCTTTAAAATGATAGCTCTCAGACTTTCCCCACTTTTGTAGTGGCACTAAAGCTTGTCTGAGCCTCAACTGCTTTTGGAAATACATTTATCTTGAGAAACCATCCATCCTGAAGGGAAGGCAGTTTATCTGAAGCTTTCTATGACCACTTGGAGGAGAAGAGAATGATGAAAGTTTCTGCAGGATCCCTTGGGGAGAAAGGTGGGATATAAATGAATAAATAAAGAATAAGCACCATTCTTAGGCACAGATAAATCCATGTGGCAGGGTTCTTGCAAGAAAAACTGGACTGAAAACAAAATGCCACTGGGAAAAGATAAATATTAGACATCGCTCTCTAAGTATGTCATGGTTCAGTTATGTAACTTTATGAAACAGGTTTCTACACTAGGCTTTGAGGATTTTATTTTTAAACAGTTTCACTGCAACAAACTCTAAAACAGGGAAATCTGCTTGGCAAAATGTGGATCTGAAGACAAAGTAAAAGGTAAAGGTTCCCTTGCTCGAAAGCCAGTCGAATCCGACTCTAGGGTTGCGGAGCTCATCTCCGTTTCAAAGCCGAAGAGCCAGCGCTGTCCGAAGACGTTTCCGTGGTCATGTGGCCGGCATGACTAAACACCAAGGCACACGGAACGCTGTTACCTTCCCACCGAATTGGTCCCTATTTATCTACTTGCAATTTCTTGCTTTCGAACTGCTAGGTTGGCAGGAGCTGGAACTAGAGATGGGAGCTCACTCCATCATGCGGCACCCGGGTCTCGAACTGCTGAACTACTGACCTTCCACAGCCTGCAGTTCAGCTTCTTAACCACTTGAGCCACCGCAGCTCAAGTACAAGATATCAATTGGCTCCTTGGCCCATAAATGATCCCACTGCCAGCTATAGTAGATGGAACTCAAGTAGTTCACTTCTGTCTCAGAGCTGACAGTGGAGAAGCACTGTTGCATGTACAAGTTTTCCTCACCAGACTGCAGCCAGTGTCTATCAATTAATTTTTTACATTTTAGAAACCAAAGAACTAAAACTAAGTCTACAATTCTAGACACATGTTCTTTGGAGTAAAGCTCTTGAACATTTATTTGGACTTACTGCTGAATCAATGGGCATTGTTTTGGGCTGCGAAGAGGACAACTCTAGTAGTTCACTGACTGTAATTTGTACAACAGGAAACACTTACTGCTGTCATGAAACCACTAACCCTGTTCCATGTAGTAATGAACCTGAGCAGATGCTAGGACAAATATAAGGCAATCAAATAAGAGAAAAAGGAAAAAAAGATGAAAGGAGTGACAAGTGAGAGAAGCAGCATCTCACAGACTGCTTATTAATACAGAACACAAACAGCAATGCCAACAGAGAGGGAGAATCAGGAAACCCTGACTGAAATCTTGCTTCTGTCAACTGCTCACTGGTAGCCTTGGCAAGCCATTCTCTCTCAGCCTCCGTTCCACATTTGCAATATGAGAATATCGGTCTTGCAGGATTACAGATATATTTGTGAAGCATTTCAGACCCTTAACACTTCCAGTAATAGGAGGCATTATGACTAGCTCGCCAACCTTCTAGCAGCAAGGAAAACTTCAGACAAGATGTAACGTGATTTCATTCCAGGTTTAGCATTAGATAGGCCAATTCTGTAAATCCCTGACAAAGCTTTGCTCAGTAGATTCCCTCAGTAAAGAGTATATCACTTTCTCTTGGTAGGAGAGGACATTCTGCCGTCATGAAAACTCTGAGAAATCAGTAAAGTTGATGAAGTGCATGAAATTTGTTCAATACAACCCTAAACATCTTGTTTCTTAATAGCTGATGATAAACTGCAGGCTGGTCTAGCTGAGCAAAGCCCCAAATTCCTAGTTGACAATCATCCAGAAGTTAGAAATCTATCACTTAACCAACCCACTACCAACAGTATGGAACCTGATCAGATTGGAATGCTCTGCAGGTCTGTCCTGAAGGGAGTTGCTGTACGGTTTAAGGTGCCAGGCCACAGGCATCCCCAAGAATCAACTAAGCTTTTCTGTTAGACAGAGAATGTATAACACTTCCATCCTCCTTTCATTTTAATTATGATTTACCGTCTGTTGATTCACAATTTCTGCACAGCAGTTTACTGCCATCTTCATTATGTAAATAGCCCTGAGTCTACAAGCCACAAAATCTGTTCACAGCAAGACTACTCAATTTGCAAAACAGAACTCGTGCTTAAGCCCCCCCCCCCGAAGTATGCCCAGAAATCTGAGTATCGTGAAGTAAATTTTTCCATTCATAGAAGCTAGCCCTGAGTCATACTTAAAAGTTCTCAGATATCAGAGACAAGTGTACACAGCCCAGCACCTGTGCTTTTCCTCAGCTTCCACTTTATCTCTTTTTCATAATCTTGTACAACACCGTATACTGTTATCAGGGTGGCAGCTTATAAGTATTTGGCCAAGCACAGCAGAAGAAGCTCAGCAAACAACAGCTTCAGGAAATAACTATATGTAGAAAACTTTGCCAGCTCTCTTTTTCTTAGTAATTGTGAGCGAATTATTTAGTTTCAATATATGTTATTATTTCTCAAGACTACAGATATTATTGCCTCAGCAGAGAATACAGAATACTAAGACATGCAGAGGATGAAAATCCAGGCCTGCCGTGGTAGCACAGCCTCAGATGTTGCTCACAAGTGAATTTGCAGGATTTTTCACATCACAAGTCCTCTAACTCAATAACATGATTAACAATCTGTTTGCCATTAGTTCTGGTCTGGTCCTGAGTGGCAGGGAACTGGACAAAGGAATGACAAGATCCCTTGGGAAGCATCAAATTTCCCACACAGAGTAAAGCCTTTCGAGCATCACAGTTGAATATTCCCCCAGCCCTTCAACTTCAAGTAGGCCTGAGAGTCAATGAAGCCATAAGAGGAACAGGCATTAAAACACACACACAGCCTAGAGTGCCATTTGCTTTTGCAATGCTTTTCATCAATCCCAGACAAAGACAAAGCCACTTGAGAGCTATGACAGGTATGCATGCAAAGATGCCTACGGGTCGCCTGTATTGGGGGCGGAGTGGAGACTATCATGTCAAAGTGATCGCGAAACTGGATACCGTCACCCCAGGGCTGCATGCAAAAAACGATGCTTAGAAGTGAAGGTAAAAAAGAATGGTATTTCTTTGTAAATCATAACACCGCGATCCTGAAGATCTAACGGGTCACTGCACACAGTAAGCCGAAAGCATGGCCAAGTTGGGTGGTGGGGCTTTCCACCTTCTTCGTCAAGCCCTCTTCTCCCCGCTAAATTGCTAGCGACGGTGTCCGCTAAAGCGTCCAAGCTGAGGCCGCCCGAGCTGTCAACGGCCCCTGGAAAGAGCCCCCTCCGACCCCTCAGCAAGGTCGCCTAGGAGACCCCCCCCCTCATTCTACTCGGTCATTATCTCCGCCCCCCACAGGCGCCCCCACTCACCGCCTATTTCGGCCTCCCTCAGAAACTCACGATACGAAGGGCGGGAACCCGCTTAGGGCTCCTCGTCACCTCTCACCTAGGACCACAGACCAGCAACCGCCGCCACTGGCCAGCCAGGAAATCGTCCACGACCCGGATGCGCATCCTCCTCTTTCCTCCCCTCTCCCAGGAAACCGGAAGTAACAACTACGGATTCGGCCTCAAATCGCTGCCGCCTTTCTGGCGCGGCAGTCGCATGCGCAAAGCCGATGCCCGGTTTCCTCTTCGCCCGGCCTTTTCGGGTCACATTACGCATGCGCAGAGCCCACACGCTCAAACCGGGGCAATCTTCCACAATTTAGGGGTTACGTAGGGGTTTTTTTGTTTTTGTTTTTTAACTGGGGCTCGTCGTATTGTCTTGATAGAAATGTTAGATCTCCAGCAGCAGGAAGGGGGCGGGGTGTTTGAGGTAATTGAGAGTGGCACCCAGTTGCGCCTGCGCATAGAGAAGGGCGAACCGAAAGTTGTGTCGTCATTGGGAGCGTTTAAAGGGTCTGAATCTTTCCCCGCGCCATTTAGACATCTGTGCAGCATAAACGCATAAAAGGTGTACAGGTGGGCATCTACCTGCTGCCTCTGAGGAGAATATAGCCGTTGTAGCGTTCTGGTTTTTTTCTGGTTTGCCATTAGTTCTGGGGGTTTTTCAAAACAGTCCAGACTAGCAACATTTATTTCAATATGAGCTTCCCTATAGAACAGAGCTTACTTTTTCAGATATTTTTCTTCTTCTTTTTCTCCCCATTGTATCTGAAGAGATGAGCTGCCTATCGTAAAAGCTCATCCTGAAATAAATTTGTTAAGTGTTTAAGGGGCAACTGAACTTCTTTTGTTTTGCTGCAGCAGATTAAAACAGCTACCCTTCTGATATTGTCATGTAATCCTTACAACAGTCCTATAAGTAGAGGTGCCAACCTCCAGGTGCCACCTGGAATCCTCACGTTATTACAGTCGATCTCCAAATGACCAAGATCAGTTCTCCTGGAGGAAATGGCATTCTACGCTACTGAGGTCCCTCCCCAAACCCTGCCCTCCCCCGGGCTTCACCCCCAAAATCTTCAGGTATTTCCCACTGCAGAGCTGGCAAGTCTACATAAGATAGTCCACTGATATTGTGCACATGGCATTAAGTAGATAAAGATGGCCTTGCCTGAGACCACTTAGCTTATTAACTGCAAATGCAAGGTTGGAACCAGGGACCAACCCAGCTCACAGATAAGGTGATCTGCCAGTGTAGTGGATTGTTGGATAACGGACCCCAATGAATAGCATGGGGGGATCTGCAAAAATTGCCTCTTGTGCCCATGGAAATTCTAGATGGGATGCAGATCATGCATATGTCCAGTATGTGTCCTGGTATGACCATCACCCAGAATAGCCAATCTGGAGTCTTTTGGCTTCCAAACAAATCCCAGCAAGAAGTGGTCAGAATCCAGAATTCCACCAATACCTGGTTTTCCATATCACAATATACACCATCCTTTCAGACTGTGCTCATGCTGCACATATGTTGTCACAAACTGTCACATGGATTCAGGTGGGTAGGCGTGTTGGTCTGAAGCAGCAGAACAAAGTCTGGCACCTTTAAAACTTTGTTGGGCCTTAAAGTGCCACTGGACTCAAACTTTGTCTCATGTTTATTCCACCCTTCCCACAAGGAGTTCCAGGTGCTCTGTGTGGTCCCCCTATGTCCCTCCTGTGAGGTAGGCTAAACTGAATGAGAAAGTGAGTGGCACAAGGACACCCAGTGAGCTTCATGGCAGAAGGGAGATATGGACTCAGGTCTCCCCAGTCTTAGTTCAGCACTGGGAGGACTGCACCATATTTTTTTTCCTCCTGTCTGCCTTCTCCTCCTTTTAGCATGGTCATTACGCACTTGGAAAAACTACTGAATGGACAGTGGGGGCAGTTCCAGGTTTTGAGGGGCCCTGGGCAGACAGTGCCAGGAGGCCCCATCTGCCCACCACCAGTCCACAATGATACTTTTCCACCTCCCACCTGTGTGCCCCCACCTGCCTATGCATCCTTCTCCCACCTGTAAGCCCTCCCACTGCCCATTCTCAGTGACCTGCAACACCTGTACACCCTTTCCCCAATAGTACTGGCTGACGCATGCCCCTGGGATTGCTGCCGCCATGGCCACCAGCAGCGTTGTCATTGTGTACCACCACATATCTTTCCCCAAGGTCACTGGGTAACTGGGGGCATGGATGGCAGAGCACTTCAAGCAAACAGATGGGGAAGGACATGCGGACAAGTGGCAGGGGAGGTGTGGGTCAGCAGCAGCAGTGGGCCCAACCAGGAGCCCTGGTCCTTGGCAGCTGCCCCCACCTCAGGTTATGCTGACACCAGCCCTGATAGATAGGAACTCATGGCCCTAAACACAGTATAGATTCCATGGTAGTTCATCCGTGGTGGCTCCAAATCATCATATCAGTTTGAGGAGGCTGGGCACGTTTTTGTCATGGTCATCAAAACTCAAGTCACATTAAACAAATGTAGTTATAAAACCATGCCGACGTTAATTTATAAACTCACCTAACATAATCTTGGCTTGAAAGAAGAATGAGGAAGAGCTCTTTTCTTAAGAAGGTCAACGTTTTATTTCCTTCAGTGAAGGGGAAAATATTATGCTGCCCTTCTGCACAAGATATCCAGAACTGTACACAAGTAACTACATAATGAATAAATTGAAAGCACAACCTTCAGCCCTGTCGCTAATGTAAAAACAACAACAACAAAAACCCAACTTCATCTTGCCTTCTGGCTATGCTTACTTACACTTTGGTTGCTTTATTTATTTCCTACAGGGAACATTTACTGCTCCTTGTGCTTGAAATTGGGCCAGCAATGGAGCATTTGTTTCACTGCCGGATTGCAGGCTGCCAAAAAATTTTTTTGCCATGAAAACTTATTAATTATAAACCCATATTTTTTGTAATTAATAAATGCAAGCTATACAACAATGTTTGTGTGTATTGATTATTAATACTTATGCAATATTAGGACTGAAAGTTCCAATACAAATTTGTAAAGACACTCAAACATCTGGCAACCAGTCATAGTAAAGTGCAAAAAGTGCTATTTCAACATTCAGTTTGTGTCCTATTTTCAGAGAAAATGTAGAAATTCCATGTGAATCCAGCTGACGGAGGGCTAGCTTGTGAAAATTCTGTTTCAGGTATCCTCTTTCATCAAAGTGGTATTGCTTAAGAATCCATTCATTCAAAATTTGCTTCATTGATTGCAAAAAGGACTGGTGCAAGCCTGTGAGGTACTTTATTCAATGAGTAATTAAAAGTGTCGAATTTACAGGCAGTGGCTGCTAACATAGATTGCTTTAAAAGAGGATTAGACAGATTCGTGGAAGATCAATCCATCAGTGGGTGTGTCCACACAGGCAGGTTGCCGTGGCAGTATCCCATAGAGAAAAAAAACGCTGGGGTTGGGTGAGCTTCACAGCATTCACACTGATCCTGCAACACTGGCTGCATCGGGTAGCTGGCCTGTGAGAGCCAGTTCACATCGCTACCAAGCCACCAGCATGGACCCATGGCTGATGCGCCTCTCTGATTGGTTGGGTTGCTGAAAATGGCATACTACTGTGCGGGAAACAGGAGGGCTGTTCACACACCTACTGCGCTTCTGTGGTGCGCCCGGCCAATCAGACGCCGGAAAAGCTGCCATGGAAACGCCTCACCCAGGAAACCACCGGATTTCCCCGGTAGCTTTTTAAGCTGATGGGGAGTCGTTCTACCATGAGGTGGGTACAGATGGCTGTCGGGTGCCAGATGTGTGAATCTAGGGTTGCCAAGTCTTTACCGTAGGTATAGCGGGGGTGTCCAGTGCTGCTCCAGGAGTTCAGCTGCGAGAACAGCATTACATCCCCCGGAAGTGACGCAACCACGTTGGGCACGCCGGGGGTGGGGCCACAATCATCCGAGGGAGAACCATAGAGTTTCCCCTCGGATGACCGCAGCCCCGCCCCCAACATGTCCGACGCAACTGCGTCACTTCCAGGTGACGTGCTGACGCCAGGCACATCGCATGCTTTGGGGGGTGGGGTTCCCCCCAGGGCCCGATTCCCCGGTGGCGGGTAAGGGGCCTCTCAGGTGGGGGTTTCCCCGCCCCCCCCGTGGGGACTTGGCAAGCCTATGTGCATCTGATCATGCTGATTTGATCTGGAGGGGAGGAGTGACTGTGTCGGGGAAAACTGCCTGTGTGATCACAGCCAGTTATTGGCAACCTTTACATCCAGAGGCAGTACACCTCTGAAGATCGGTGTTAGGAGGCCTCTCTGCCCTGTTTGTTGGTCATCCAGGGCAACTTGTTGGCCACTGTGTGAAATGGGACAAGATGGACCACTGGTCTGCACCTCTTACTAGAAGGACATTTCCTTGGATAATTTCAGAAACCATGTAATTCTAGTCTGACTGAGGGACCCCTCAGAATATGAGTGACACCATACTGGGCTGTTCTTTCAAGTCAACGTTGATATGGTGACTGAAGGCCACCATTCCAGCTATAACTCTGAAGAAGAAAGGCAGACCACCTTAACTCTATGGGCTAAAAAACCTTTATCACTACTGCCAGCCACCAGACCCGTAACAAGAATAACCTGAGGGATGCAGAAAAAGCATATTATGACAGAAATAAAAGGTATGTTACTACTCTTGTTATTTGTGCATTTATCTTTTTACCAAAATGACTATTATGAAAGCATAGGGGGAGCAAATGTAGCTGGTTAAGAACATACATAAGAACATAAGAGACGCCAATGTTGGATCAGGCCAAAGGCCCATCCAGTCCAACACGTGTCACACAGTGGCCAGAAATACCAGGTGCCATCAGGAGGTCCACCAGTGGGGCCAGGACATTAGAAGCCCTCCCACTGTTGACCCCCCCAAGCACCAAGAAGACAGAGCATCACTTGCCCCAGAGTCCCTATCTATACCTTGTGGCTAATAGCCACTGAT